GGGGGAGGACGCGGATGGTGCAGGTGCCTGCGGGGAGGGGGAAAAAACGGGGATAGTCAGAGGGTCCCACCGGAACCGGGAACCCCCCGAGCCCCTCCCCACCCGCGGGGTCCCACAGAGCCCTCCCCCGCCAGCCCCGGCCCCACCCCGGGCGCTCCCGTCCGTCCGTCCGTCCGTCCGTCCGTACCGGAGGTGAATCGCTTCTCCCGGGCGCTGAAGAAGTCACGGTACGGGGAAACCACGATGGGGACGATGGGGACCTGCCGGACACTGAGGGTCAAGGGGACACCCCTAGGGCTCCTGCCTGCCCCTCTCTGCTCCTGCACGGCAGAGTGTCCATCCCTGGGGTCCAAATCCCATCCCCCATCCTTGGGGACCCACTCCCCATCCCTGGGGACCAAACTCCAACCCTTGGGGCACAAACCCCATCCCTGGGGACCCAACCCTACATCCCTGGGGATCAAACCCCTCCCATCTCTGGGACAAACCCTCTGCTCCATCCCTGGGGACCAAACCCCAAATCCTTGGGGCACAAACCCCCATCCCTGGGGACCAAAACCCGCCCCCATCCCTGGGACCAAACCCTTCGCTCCATCCCTGGGGACCAAACCCTCCACTCCATCCCTGGGGACAAAACCCCAAATCTCTGGGGACCAAATCCCCCGTCCCTGGGACCCAAACCCCCCCATCCTTGGGGACAAAACCCTGCCCCATTCTTGGGGACAAAACCACCCCATCCCTGAGAACCAAACCCCTCCCCCCCAAAAACCCTCCACCCCCAGGACCAAACCCCAAATCTTTGTGGACCAAACCCCTCCCCCCATCCTTGAGGAGCCAGCTCCCCATCTCTGGGGACAAACCAAATGGGGACCCAACCCCCCATTTCTCCGGCCCAGGATTCACACCCACCCCTCTCCATCCAGGCTGACCCCAAGGGGAGGAGCCCTTTAGGGAAAGGCCTCCCAGACCACAAGCCCAGCCCCAGACTGCCCTTACCTGGGCCTGCACRGCCAGGTGAAAAGCCCCACGCTTGAAGGGCAGCATGGCCTTGCCCGGGTTCCTGGTGCCTTCCGGGAACACCCACACCCGGAGCTGCGGGGCACAGGGACAGCGGTGACCCCAAACCTCAGCTGGGTCACCCCTGCCCACACCCCCTCACCCCGCGGGTGTTTGCCCCCACCCCGAGCCCGTTTTGCTCACGTTCTCGCGGTGCATGGCGCTGGCCGTGCGGGAGATGACCTCGATGGCCGCGTCCCTGCGGTGGCGGTCGATGAAGATGATGCCGCTGAGCCAGCACGCCCAGCCCACCGTGCCCAGGTAGAGCAGCTCCCGCTTGGCGATGGGCACACAGCGCTCAGGGATCACCTCCACCATCGCTGAGGAGGGACAGCACCCGTTAGCATCACCCCAACCCCGGGGGATTGCTTGGCAGCAGGAAAAACAGAGGAGAAAACTGCTTGGAAGTGGAACTCCCCAGCTGGATATCAGGAATAAGATGTGCACCACAAAAATCGGCTCAGGAAATTATTAAGGGCTTGGAAATTGAACTCCCATCTTGGACAAACCGGCTGGATATCAGGAATAAGGTGTGCACCACAAAAATCGGCTCAGGAAATTATTAAGGGCTTGGAAATTGAACTCCCAACTTGGACAAATCGGCTGGATATCAGGGATAAGGTGTGCACCACAAAAATCAGCTCAGGCTGCTTGGATTTCGATGTCCCAGATTGGGCAAACCAGCTGGAAATCGATAATACTTTTTGAAGAAGAAAAATCAGCTCAGAAAATTATTTAGTGCTTGGAATTAAACTTCCCAGGTTGAACAAAGCAGCTGGATATCAAGAATCAATTTTGCAGGAGAAAAATCAGTTCAGGAAATTACTGACTGCTCAGAATTAAACTTCCCATGCTGGACAAACTGGCCGGATATCAGGAATAAGTTTTGCAGCCGAAAAACCAGCTCTGAAAATTATTGGCTGCTTGGAATTCAACATCTCAGGCTGGACAAACCAGCTGGAAATCAGTATGTCTTGAATTTAAAAAATCAGCCCAGAAAATTATTGACTGCTTGGAATTAGACGTCCCAGGATGAATATCAGGAATAAGGTGCCCAACAGAAAAATGAGCTCAGGAAATTATTGAGGGCTTGAAAGTTGAACTCCCACATTGGACAGAGTGGATATCAGGAATCAGTTTTGCAGCTCAGCCAGCCCTGAGCATTGATAACTGCAGAGAGGAACCCTCTGGAGAGGCTAAATTACATCGGTGCACAGGTTAATTAATCATTTACATCCTAATTAATATAGGACCAGATTGGGGGTTTTTTTAGCCTTGACTTAAAGGACTTTCAGCTGTCCCCAAGCCCAGAACCACCCTGTGGCATCACCTCCTGTCCCCAAATCTCTCCCAGTCCATTCCCACCACACATCCCTGCCCCATTCCCGGCGCTGACACCCCAAAGCCCCCCTGGAGCCCCCAGAGGAGCCCCCCCTGCCCCGTCCCACGCACTTATGAGGTCGAGGGAAGTCTGGTGGTTGCAGACGATGACGAAGGGTCCCGGCAGCCGCAGCCGCTCCGAGCCGCTGACCCGCACACGGATCCCGTAGAAGCGCTTGAGGGGCAGGAGAGCGGCGCGCAGGAG